GAGTCAGCCTTCGGCTGAATTACCTCTTTCATGCCACTTCGTATAGAATACGAGATTTTTTATCCACAAAGGCGGTCGCACGACTATTAGCATTAATTAATCTTTCTTGTACCAGCTCTGCATTGAAGAACAGAAAAAGAAATGGAGTTAACTTATCCGTGGCCGCGTGTAGGTGAGCTCAGCAAAGTCTAACTAAAGTGGGGGCATGCAAGAGTCCTATCCTCGACGGGCTGAACAATTAGCCAATCGGAACTTGGGAATAACAGCCAATGCTCCCTTTCAGGTAGTTTTGACAAAAACAGAAACGTCACCTGTGACCAGGGGCAACAGCAATCTGCCCCCCTGCCCGCGATCACGTGTACCAATTTGTCAGATTGTGGCGCTGCCAGTGATGAACCGCACTGTGTGCAGCCACCGCCTTTGGCAAGATTCAATCAGAATGCTGCTGCCTGGAAGGCAGCAGTATAAGAGAAGTATTTATGATTGCATCATTCTACTGTACTCTTCGAAAGAGAAGAACAAGAATAATCAACTTAATTACATTTGAAGATAGAACTCTCTCCGTGATTTTGTGCCGCCGTATTTCTAACACCAATCCACCCACGACATCTTCCAATGGACTCGATGGATTAGCCAATCCACTACGATTTTTGCCAGTGGAGTGGACGTGTAATCCACGAGTGGATCCACTGCGTGGAATGAGTGGAGTGGCTTTCAACGGCGACTAATAGAGGGACGGGGCCCCGTCCAATTACCAGTTTAAGGTACTGGTCAGTATATTTAGCAGCGCCTCTCCCACTGGTGTCAAATCAAGTCGTCAACTCCACATTCATTGTCAACAATTGCAAATCTATCCTGGGATATCAATACGACCGAATGACAAACATGGCAAACAACAACTTCTTGAACGTGTACAAAGGTGCGGATTCTGTTCGAAAATATTTCGACCCTGATTTATCTCCTCCGCTACCGTTGGTTGAGATAACCGACCGCCTCAACCCGTACTACCGGGATGGGGTTCGCATCTACGCGAAGATGATGGCCGTAGGCTCCACTAGCATTAGCTCTATGTCAGGTAAGGCGTCCCAGTCTGCCTGCAAAGTTATATACAGGATAATAATATTTCTTCTAATACTGCCTGCTCAGCTCTCAACCTCATGCAGGATAGTGAGGTATCGGCAAAGACCAAGACAACTGTGCAGTACGGTTCTGATTTGATGCAGTCGTCCGGTATTGACATGTAAGTAAGAACTCGGGCATAGCTCTAGGAAGATGGCGCTTATAGATATAGCACACCGCTTGGTGGTCTGTCACAGCCGGAAGCACTAGGCGAACATGGTGGTGTTCGAGCCGCCCAAACCCAGGTCGAGGAGCCACAGATAGTCATCAACCCAAGTCAATATGGGAATGAGAAGGTAAGAGCGCAGTGTCTGGAAGTGGTGTTACGAAACTGATGGTTTTGATGTAGAATTGGAAGTCCCATGCGAAATGGACGGGCCCTCAAATTCTGATGCAGCTGCCAGAAATCAATGTTATCTGTGCAGGCATGGACACTTCAGGTGACTGCACCATGACCTGAACTGGTGGTATCAATACACTGACGTATGATTAAGGTGCTATACTAGGACTCGGTACATTTTTCAAGGTGGCAAAGCCATGTGTGTTCCGACTAGGGTAAGCCTAAAAGATTAATACCCTAGTTCAACCTTTCGGTAATGGTGTTGGCTAATTTACCCGTAGTGTCTGCATTACTACAACAGGCCAAGGACCTGGGGATCGATCCTGCGCCGCTGGCCCGGTAGGGCTTTCCCAGCAGACTGCTGTGAACCACGTTGAGCAGGTTGGATGGCACGATTCCTACTCTTGCAGCCTTGAACTCACGAAGGATGGTATCATTTGTGGTCCATTTTCTGGTCTGCATCTCAGGGGACTGTTACAGTTCATTGAGAATCGCAGGAGCGAAGGCAGTCTCTCATCCTTGGCCGGGCCAGATGGCAATATCCACTGTGTCTTCTTATGTTGTGACCTACCTCCAGAGTCCTTTGACGAACATTCTGAATGAGCTGAGACCAACCATTGTTGAGAAACAGTGCGTGTCAAATCTCCGCTTGGTCTTGAAGGAAAAGCGGTTGAAAGAGGCCAATATACGCGCTTCTGAATTGATTTGAATTTGGTATCGCCTATCGGCGCCTTAGCGTAGTGTTAGATTCTCTGTGGTTACAAAATACGAAGGCTGGCCAACCACCTGGATGAATTCAGGTGGTTAGGGAGTAAAGATAAAAGACCTCATCTCTTCAAGTTAGACAACAGGAGAGAACAGACAAGAATACATCACAATTTTTTATCTCCATAATGGTGCCACCGTATTTCTAACAATCTTGTATGGGCAATCCCCAAAGCAGGCTGGATTCGTTGATGAGCCTAGAATGGTGGATATACATCAGCCACCACTACAGAGGCATTATCCGACAACATCAGCCACCATGTGTCGCTGCTTCTTTGTTTACCATCGCCAAAAATTGCCTGGCGATCTGTTAGTTTGCTTGGCCAAGCGGCCCTTCGTCTTTTATTGAAGCTGATGCAACGTGGTATTGGCTATGGATAACGGTTCTAGGTTAGTATTCTCCCTGTGCCTGGTTTGGTAGTCCATTGCCCGTCTTGCAGCCAAACAAAACCTGCAAGTGACTTCATGAGCAGGAGGAAATCTGCCAATCCCACTATAACCTGCCTGAAATTGTGAGGGAATCATGTGACCTCATTGATTAATAAATGTCTCACTTCATTATAAAATACTACGCCACCCCTTGCACGTTAGAGCTGTGGGTGCAAGGGGTAGTCTTGCAGGATATATGTAAGATTTGGACGCGTACCAAAAGGGATGATAATCACAGCACTGGATAAACTACTTGGTGTGGTGGGAACCGTGACCATCCAGAATGAGGAGGCGCTTGTTATAAATAGCGTGCCTTGGCGGTATCTCTAGCTTACAAATTTGCGATGGCAACGGGGAGACTCGTACGGGACCAACGACCACCGGAGTAGAGAACCGGTACACGAAATCATACTAACAATAAAACAGCCTCAATATTGGCAGACCGTACTTCAGCTGCTGAGGATAGGACGCTGAACACTTGGGGAATGGCCTTCAAGCAGGCCTGTCAAGGAACAAAACGGACGAGGCGGAACCAACCAGTGTAAGAGAAAGTGTG